AAAAAAAAAAAAAAACAAAAAAAAAACAAAGAGTCTAGTGGGGAGGTAATTAGGTAATGGGCACCATCTTCATGAATGGATTAATGCTATTATAAAGAGCAAGCCTGCTCCCCCATCTCTTGCTTTTTCACTTGCACATGTGCCCCTTCTTCACACTGCAGGTTCCCTTGCCACTTCTCCATCATGTTATGCTGCTCCCAGAGGGCCTCTGCCAGGACACTGACACCATACTAGGACCTTCTAGCCATCAGAATGGGAAGTCAAATAAACCTCTTTACTTTCTAAGTTATCCAGCCTCATGTTACTTACTTTTCTTGTTGCTGAGACAAAACACCTGACACCCAATGTTAAAGGAGGAAAGGTTTATTCATCTTACAGTTTGTAGAGGTTTCAGTCCATAATCCAAGGCAGGGTGGCATGGCAGACAGGCATTGCAGAGGAGAAACAGTTGAGAAGGTAGCAAAGCAACAAGGGACTACCGCAGCTCTTTCTAGCCCTTATATCTTATCCAGGCTACTCTGGTCTACTCATACCCTCAATCCTAGCATTTCACCATGAATCAATTGCAGCATCACATACTCTAGATCAAGCCATCACTGAAAAAACCCCACCTATGACCACATAAGGATCAAAACACAAGCCATAGCAAGGCTGACATATTTTGTTATAATAACATTAAACAGACTGAGAGCCCAGTTTTAATTTCAAGGCTGTGATTCTCAATGCAATCTGCAATTTAAAATTACATAGGGCTATTTTCAAAATACTTTCCTTTCCCCTTCCCAGTGCTGGGGAGGGAACTGGTAAATGACATACAGAGATGCAAGAGTAGGTAAAACAAACAAACAAACAAAACTTTACTTTGCTAGCAAAGGGTCAGCCTGCACCAAGGATTGTGCCAAATGACTGACCCTGGGCTGGATTACAATCTGCCTTTTATAGGAGTTTTACCATTATAACCTCATTTTAGATAGTTCGAAAAGTCATTCCAGTTCTCTCAGTTCCCATCACAAATCATGGTCACAAGATTTTAACCAAAATGTAACATTCTCTTTTAGGATGTTTATCTTTAGGATGTTTATCTTAGGCTATTGTAGCCTACAAGAGTTGGGGGGTCAGGGTTAGGACAGAAGGACTGGTAAGAAAGAATAGGGCTTAGGACATAGCAACTTTTATCTCAATTTGAATATCTGGTCTCACTCTGGGGATGCAGATAAGTACCTCCAGCATTTGTTAATCTTATAACATTTTAAAGTGGGGCTACATGCCTTTAAGCTTTAATGGTGAAATCTCTCATATTTTTGTCCTAAGAAACAAGCAGGGCAAAGCAAATTACAGAAGTGAAAGGCAGCTGTTATTCTATATTTCCTTAACATTTTGTAGATTTCAGACTATTTACAGAAGTTCTCTCTATCACCAGAGCAGATGAGTGATGATAAAATCAAGTATTTGGGAGTGGATATTAATTGCACTAGTTTTTGTTATTTGTTTAATAAAAAACATCTAAAAACAACTCCCAAAAATGCCTACCTGAATTTGGAATCTAATCATTAATTGTGCAAAAATATAGGACATGTAAAAAGAAAATTCACAATGTACCAAAAGCATGACACATAAAATAAACACTGACAAATTAGAATTAATATTTTGATAATTGGCTTTATAAAAGACCTTTTAAGAGCCTAAAAAGACAAGCTACAGACTAGGAAAACATATTTTCTAAGCCACATATTTGACATAGGACTCATCAAGAATATATTAAGAACTGTAAAAAATTAACAGCTAAAAAAACTACAATCTAATTAGAAAATGGACAAAACAGAGGAGACAGTTCATAAAAGAGGATGTACAGGTGGAAAATAAGCACACAAAAAGTTGTTCAATATCACCAACCATTAAGGAAATGCCACATAAGCTTAGGATGAGGTATTACTACAAACCTATTAGAATAGCTAAGATAAAAATAGTGACAAACTGGGCACACACTTAGTAATCTCAGAACTCAGGAGGCTGAGGTAGGAGGATTGAAAGTTCAAGCTCAGCCCAGGCAATTTAGCTACTTAGTGTGACCCTGTCTCAAAATTAAAAAATTAAAAACACTGGGGATGTAGCTCAGTGCAAAGGCTTTAGGTTCAATCTATAGTATTGCTAAAAAAAATTTGACAATCCCAAAAGCTGGCAAGAATGAGTTGAAACTACTTGTTTCATACATTGCTGGTGGGAATAAAAAGCAGTATAGCCACTCTGTAAGTTTAGCAATTTCTTAAAAAACTAAATACAGTGGACCTTTGACTTATGAACTCCATTCATGACAGCTGGTTGTAACTCAAGTTGGTCAATTGAAGGTTCAGGTTCCTCTACAAAGCCTTCAAAGTCTCTCTCCTGTATACAGGCAGATCTCAGCGTCCTTACAGGGACACTGGCCCAGGATTTCTCAACCTCACAACACAGAAAGGGATATTGTAATGCTCCTTCAGAACTCTTTGAAGGCTAAATCTGTATATGAGACCATCTCAAAACACAAATGGCCAGTATTTGGGTCATAACTCAAGACTTTGTTTGTAAGTTAAAACTAAAATTCCAGTCATAACCCAAGTCATTCATATGTCAGGTTGGTTGTAACTTGAGAGTCCACTGTATATATATGTGCCCCAGCAATGACAATTCTCCTAAAGAATTAAAAACTTACGTTTACACAAAAGCCTAAGCACAAATATTTCTTTTTTTTTTTTTTTTTTTTTTTTTTTTTTTTGTT